ATGATTAAACTTAAGCTATATATATATAATAGTAAAACTCCGTAGAGTTTGATAGCTAATACATTTTATTATGTTGATTTAGACCTAGTATTGAGCTTAAGATATGAAGTAAACCTTAAGCTAAATATATAATAACAAAAACCTTTTAGAGTTTTAATAGCTAATATACTTATATGGTATCAACATAGTATTGAGCTTAAGATATGAAGAAACCTTAAGCTACATATGTATAGCAAAAACTCCGTAGAGTTTGTTAGCTAATACATGATATAATGTAACCATAAAGCTTAAAATATGATGAAAACTTAAGCCCAATATATAATAGCAAAAAACTCTTTTAGAGTTTTGATAGCTAATATACCTATATGCTATAAACATAGTACTAAGCTTAAGATATGAATAAGCTTAAGTTACATATATAATAGCAAAAAACTCCATAGAGTTTGTTAGCTAATACATGTTATAATGTAACCATATTGCTTAAGATATGATGAAACTTAAGCCAAATAGCAAAAGCTCTTTAGAGTTTGTTAGCTAATATAGTTATATGATATAAACATAGTACTGAGCTTAAGATATGAATGAGCTTAAGCTACCTATATAATAGCAAAACTCCGTAGAGTTTGTTAGCTAATGTATTTTTACAATATGAGTATAGTACTATGCTTAAAATATACTTGACTTAAGCTCATTATATAATAGCCAAAAAAACTCTGTAGAGTTTGTTAGCTAATGCATTTATCATGTAACCACTGTGATGATAAAAAGCGAGCTTAAGCAAATTATATATAGCATGAAGCTATTTAGTACTGTTATAAGATAAGTAAAATCTGTAAGATTGACTTATCTTCTCGAGGAACTGTCAACTGTTGTGCAAGGACCATGGGATCGAATTGGTGGATACCTGAGATGTCCTCGGTGGTGATATCTCTCAGATAATGGTTGGCAACCACCATATCGGATCTACAGTAATAAACCCTCCATTATTTCAAATAACATTTGTGTAGATGAAATTGTAGAAGTTAGGGCTCTAATATCAAGAGTATTAAAGCTCATGGAGGGTCGGATTAGGTCCATCTGTCTTGTATGCGTAGTATGACAGTTCTGATCAAAGCGGAGATATAGTGCATTGAGACTACACTCTCGTAAGTTGATGATAGAGGGAAAAAAATCTGTTGTATTTTTTCTTCCTGTTTGGTTTGGTGGAGATAAATTTACAGTGCTCTTGCTGGCCAGCGTGATAGCATCATCGTATCATGGAGTCAAGTATGTCATCCAGGCATGTTCATAAACCTCACTTGTGAGGTGTTGTAGCACTATATTCATATCCCCAAGTTGAGTGTGCGTGAAACTTCCGTTTATTCTCCAAACAGAAACTTAGTAGGTTTACTAACCATCTAGTTGTGTTAGTAGCTTGATGATGAAATTCAGGTGTAGTCTGAAGCTGTGGATTTCGATCCACTTGTATCCGCGTCGTCTAGGTAAATCGTTGCGATGTCCTTGGCGATGTATGTGCACTAACCGGGAGTTTGTGTCCTCGATGAACTTTATGTAAAATCGCCTGACTGCTGTGCCCTTGTCTAAACTTGACAGGGGAGGTCTCTAACCTGAAGAAAGCAGCCTAATCATGAAGGTTCAGGTTAACTGGGCTGTAAGGAGGCTTGCTTTCGTTCATTGATATAAAGTTGTCACTTGCAACCTATGTCTTGAACTGTGAACTATGCTTTCGACCTCTGTGTAGGCGTTGTTCATCGAGGGTCCAATCAGAATAAGGCATTTTGATTCTGTAGAGTACCAGCTGTGATGTCACCCGGTGTAGCAGGAAAAGGAACCTTGTATAATATAGTGCGTCGTTGATATTAGAACAATCATCGGTCTTCATCGTAACTTCGAAGTTACCCAGTGACCGTGTTTGAGGATTAATGGTAGCTAGCGAAAGCTTCGGTATAAAATACCTTGCTCTGTAATATTAATGCTGGGTAGGTTATTTTCCTGGCTAATAAGTGAAAGTACTTCAGTTTTGAATATAATTCCGACTTCTTTATATATAAAGGTACAATAACTTGTAAGTTGTCAGCTTGTAGACTGTATACATGAATGTATCGTCATAATTGTAGAATTAAAGCTGAATTTGTTGTACATATTTCTTCTCAGAAATGTTGGCGATTATGAGTTATACTTCGCTGTAACAAGGCTGCTGTTCAATTTCGATATTGAATTGTCTGCAGATATGCGTAATGGTCGCATGTAGATAATCGTATCGTCGTCGGGATTGCATATACTAGCAATTTATCACGGAATAGTTGATTTCTGTGAAGATCTATGAAGCGTCGTTGACAAATTAATACAGCGGCGTTCTGTGTTGTAAATAGCCTGTGCAATTGTCTTAGCGTAGGCTTATAGGCGGCATCTGGCATACAGTTGATAGACAACTTATGCGATGTCTTGAGCGGACTGAGGAGTAGCTATATATGGCGAGTGGCTAGTATATGGAGACCTTGGAGGAGACTTCCTCGGTGAGCGCCGGAGACTTCCGCGAAGCTCGAAGTATCCCTTCTAGATCTACTGGTGAAGTAGACTTGGAGCCACTTAGCCTTAGCGACCTTAGCGAAGGTATCGAGAATCAAAGTCGATTAGATATATATATATATATATATATATATATATATATAAGGCTTGCTTGTGAATGGCCTCTGTGTTTAACAGGATGTGGGGTCGTGGCGCTTCTCCTCAGCGGCGTCCCTTGTAGCTGGTGAGGCTCTAGCTCCTTAGCGGGCTGACCTGGGACTTGCTGGTTCTGCATAAGTAGGGCGAGTGGATCATCTTATCATTTTCAGAAGTGGAGTATTCACGAAATCTGGTGATAAGTGTCTCAATGATCGTTCTAGATCTATTTAGGCCAGCGAACATCACGTCTCGTCATGGATTCAACTGAACCAATTCACGATTGTAGTTCTTATTGTTGATATCGATGATCAACTTGTAGTTTTCATCGATGTCTTAAGCCTTGAAGAAGGGGTCCATGTTGTGCGTGGAAAACTTCTAGGCGTGAAAGTTCGGCAATTATGGTGTCTGAACTTTTGTGGCTTTATGGGATGCTATGTCTAGATTCTGTGCTACGCGGCAATGGATTCGTCGGAGGGTAGGGTGATAGCATCTGCGTCGTCTTCCTTCATCAGGTATGTCTGCGTCGTACTGCCACTCTAGGAAGGTGATGTAGACTTGTGTGCAGAACTTGTGTGGTAACCTGTGAAGCGTCGATGTGGTGATGTCTGAGGAGATCGGAGACTATTGACAGCCAGCGAAGCTCTTGAGTAGTCCCTTGACTCTGTTAAATGGCGATCTATATTGGTGTCCTTCGAGTGCCTTAGCGAATGCCTTAGCGAGCGCCTTCCTGAGCATTCCAGCGCGCATGAGCGAAGCTTCCTCCTCGTTCGGTGCTGGGAGCGGCGATTTGAGCTTAGCGAAGGCTTCCGTGAGGTCTGGTGGCTGAGTCTGCATCTAAGGATGAAGCGAGGAATGTGATGATCTATCCGCCCAGCGAAGGCAGCGAAGAGCTGTACATCTGGGTCGCCGTCAAGGTGGTCTGCGACTTCCGCCAGCGAAGGCTGCATCGTCTTGGCTGCTCGTTGACTGGAGGTGCCTCTAGAGTGTTGTCTAAGTTGGAGCCCAGCGAAGGCTCGTACTCTGGGCTGGCTGCTTCTCCAGTCTGTAGTGACCCTCCATCCACGACCATGATTTGCCGTAGTAGCTTCGTCTGGGATGGTCTGCGGCGAAGTAGTCGGTGCCATCTCTGCGCTGTTAGTGGTGGGGCCCTCAGGTAAGTCGTCTGACATCAGTGTAGAGACATCAGGCTGCATGGCGATCTCTGCTGATGTCATTGTAGCTGTCACCCGGTGGCTACTTGTCTCATCGTCGAGGATGATGATCGGCTGATCATCGTAGAATAAGTTCAGCGGCTGGAACAATCTCGGTTGAGAAAGTCCTAGTAGACCGTTGAATTCCCCTCAGAGGTCGGCGCTGCCCTGGGGGTCGCGAAGTCTGCGTTGAGTGTTAGTAGCGGCGGGACCCTCAGGAAGATCATCGAATGTTGATCTGCGCTGACATCACTGTTGCCGACATCAGTCATTCTTTGATGTACATCAGGAATGATGATCGGCTGATCATCATACAGGCCCAAATCTGCGATGAGAACAATCTCGGCTGAGAAAGTTCTAGTAGACCGTTGAATACCCCTCAGTCGCGGCGAAGGGATGTCTGGGGAAGCAGGGCGCTTCTTGGAAGCGGACTCGTCCCGCCTCTCCACCATTCTAGCGGAAACCCAGGCGGGAGGGTCGACCAACAGCAGTAGACTGGCGAGGGGTTCAGGTGTATCAGTCATGCTAGACTCTGCATCGTGACCTATCTGCTGCGGCGTCTCAAGCGCCAAAGTAATTATTTATTAAAGGTAGAATTGGATAAATTAGTATCGCAACTGCAGCGTGAATCACATGAAACATGGCGCGCAGTACAGCTAGGGCATATTAAATGCGGATCAGCAGCAGAATAAAAAGCGTAATGTGCAACAGTACAGAATTTTTATCAGCGTAATCCACTGCAACAGCAACCGCGTCCGTGCATAAACAGTAGAAAAACGACTAAATATCAATATATAATTGTTGAAGATACTAGCTAAACCTCTATAGATCTCTATCACGAGGGTAACTAACTAAATATAATCAAAGGATATAGTGTGTCGGGACACAGAGCTCTCTCGATCCAGCTCACTGGGCGAAGAAGAAGAGTGAGGCACATGGGTAGAGGTGAAGCCCTCGTTCAGCTTGTGGAAGGGAGGTAACTTCGTGGTGTACTAATTAGTGATTTTACATTGAAGGGAACTTCAATTAGGGAGATACAAGTGTTCCACTATGTTAGCAAGAGGAAGGAGACAAGCAAAAGAGCATGAGTCAGGATAAGGAAAAATAAGGTGCTTGCACCTTTATCAAGCAGATAATGTTTCAGTACATATGTCTTCATCATTTGAACAAAAGCAATCCATACGTCAACTCTGACACCACAGCTTCCAGCTGCCACCTGCAGACTACGCACCATGTATGAGCTCTGGGCAGCTGGCCAGGATGTCCCCACTTCTCTATAGTGAACAGCTGAGGCCCGTTGCTTCCATACAGCTCAGCAAATCCATTCATTGGGACTCGCGATGTCCCTGTGACAAACTGCAGCAATCTTGATCTCATTTCATTGTTGCAGGAGTAGACAGCCTGAAACACAAGTACAGACACATGTATACAGACCAGGTAGTGTGGTTACCTGCGTGTGGTAGTGTGGCAAGTAATGGCAGTAGTAAGTATGCTACATTCAAAGTGTATTCACTTGGGTAAATACATGTTCACCTCAATCAGCAATGTTCCAGCTAGATCATAGCAATACACGCTGGCAGTTGCTGATAGGTTGAACTATGAGCCCTTCCTTAGGCATGTTGACACCATAAGCTGTTGACACTGTCACAACCATTACCCAGTGTAGTCTCCCACTGTTACCCAGTGGAGTCTCTCATTGTTACCCAGTGTAGTCACCCACTGTTACCCAGTGAAGTCTCCCACCGTTACCCAGTGTAGTCTCTCATTGTTACCCAGTGTAGTCTCTCATTGTTACCCAGTGTAGTCTCCCATTGTTACCCAGTGTAGCCTCCCACTGTTACCCAGTGTAGCCTCCCACTGTTACCCAGTGTAGTCACCCACCGTTACCCAGTGTAGTCTCCCACTGTTACCCAGTGTAGTCTCCCACTGTTACCCAGTGAAGTCTCCCACCGTTACCCAGTGTAGTCTCCTATTGTTACCCAGTGTAGTCACCCAGTGTAGTCTCCCATTGTTACCCAGTGTAGTCACCCACTGTTACCCAGTGTAGTCTCCCACCGTTACCCAGTGTAGTCTCCCACTGTTACCCAGTGTAGTCACCCACTGTTACCCAGTGTAGTCTCCTATTGTTACCCAGTGTAGACACCCACTGTTACCCAGTGTAGTCTCCCACCGTTACCCAGTGTAGTCTCCCACCGTTACCCAGTGTAGTCTCCGACCATTACCCAGTGTAGTCTCCTATTGTTACCCAGTGTAGTTTCCCACTGTTACCCAGTGTAGTCTCCCACTGTTACCCAGTGTAGTCACCCACCGTTACCCAGGGTAGTCTCCCACTGTTACCCAGGGTAGCCTCCCACTGTTACCCAGTGTAGTCTCCCACTGTTACCCAGTGTAGTCTCCCACTGTTACCCAGGTGTAGTCTCCCACTGTTACCCAGTGTAGTCTCCCACCGTTACCCAGGGTAGTCACCCACCGTTACCCAGTGAAGCCTCCCACTGTTACCCAGTGTAGTCTCCCACTGTTACCCAGTGTAGTTTCCCACTGTTACCCAGTGTAGTCTCCCACTGTTACCCAGTGTAGTCTCCCACTGTTACCCAGTGTAGTCTCCCACTGTTACCCAGTGTAGTCACCCACCGTTACCCAGTGTAGTCTCCCACCGTTACCCAGTGTAGTCTCCCACCGTTACCCAGTGTAGTCTCCCACCGTTACCCAGTGTAGTCTCCCATTGTTACCCAGTGTAGTCTCCCACTGTTACCCAGTGTAGTCTCCCACTGTTACCCAGTGTAGTCTCCCACTGTTACCCAGTGTAGTCTCCCACTGTTACCCAATGTAGTCACCCACTGTTACCCAGTGTAGTCTCCCACTGCCACAACTGACAACCAGGTTAATGTCTTTATGTCCTAACAGTGTAGTCTCACAAGAAGCATGGACAAACCCCTCTGTCTCCAGTCTACAGTTTCTACCCATGGTTCCCTATTTTCAACATCCCTGATCAGAGGGAGCAGGTAACTCACCTTCCAGAAGTAGAGGATGGTTGGGTGGTTGGGGTTGTACTCTCCCTTGTAAGCTGTATGATTCTTCCAGTCGTTGACGTCAACATCTTGCAGCCCACACATCAACAGCTCCAGCTCATTCTCATCAAATATTTGAAGGTGGTCTCGTGAGATGAGCGAGTTGAAGCCCTTCATCAGCGACTTCATCTGGGATTCTACACGTTGCACGAATCTCCACTTGATCACAAGGCTGCAACAAAATATGGAGAACATTACACACAGGACTTGGGCACAGTTGGCCCAGTTGACTATGGTGCCACTGTTTGAATCTAGTTTTTGGCCTGATTATGTGTCTTGGTTTGTCAGCTCTGTAGCTTTACTCGTGGATGAGTGAGTGAGTTTAGTTTTACACCGCACTCAGCAATATTCCAGTTAAATGGTGGCGGTCTGTAAATAATCAAGTCTGGACCAAACAATCCAGTGATCAACAGCATGAGTATTGATCTACGCAACTGGGATATGAAGACATGTGCCAACCAAGTCAGCAAGCTTGATCCATCCGATCCCATTTGTGGCCTCTTTACGACAAGCATGGGTTACTGAAGATCAGTTCTAACCTGGATCTTCATGGGTCACTCGTGGATGAGGTAAGACCCAGATGTAAACAGGTGGTGATCCACATCAGTTCAGGCTTTACTCAACCACCAAGCTGACATTCAATGATTGAATGAAATACTGTATAAAGCAGTGTCAAACCACTCACTCACTCAACAGGTCAGGTTAACAAATAAAATCGTAAATATTTGAATTTCACTTAAATATCAACAAACAGGCAATAATCTTGAGGCTGGGATGTGTGATGAACATGCTTCTCAAATCGACAGATGGGGTTTTCTTTGGTTTGAACATTTCAACCATTGACGTATACACACAAAGAAATGCTTCTAAAATATGGAGAGTGAAAAAGTAAAATGAACACAATCTCTACTCACTCAATATACTCCATCTTGTTGTCATTGGTGACGATGATGTCCTTGCCACCTGGCTTCAGTTCTCGCTCTGTGATCTGAGGACAACAGTGTGCAACAGTTAGAACCAGTCTTACCCAGCATACAGACACAGTATAAACAGGATACAATCCGGTAACAGAGCTAGGTTCTGGCTTCATCATCCAAGAAGCTATAACATTTGGGACTCTACAATGTCATTCAGGATATACCTTCAACGGAGAAATGAGATTGGCTAGTAGAGCAGATAGCCACTTCAAGGTAAACCTTAGGGGAGGTAACTCCTCCATGACACAATAATCAACACAAGAGGGTTGCAGAACTCAACTTACCTCTCCAAACTGATCTTCCTCTACAGAGAAATGCAGTTCTAGATCTTCAGGGTCGTTTTCCTTGATCCACACCAAGGAGTTGTAATACTCTGAGTCCTAGAGAACAAATGACACTGGATATGTAACATTGTTGTTTTAATCTCAGCTAAAACAAGACCAATCTTACCCCTTTACAAATAAAGCTATCCTGACTTAAAGAAGAAAATACCAATGCATTTAATTTTGAGGACAACATCATAAGTTTTTTTGGATAAAAATGCATTCTCAAAATAGTCCAAAGAATCCCTTCTGATGTATTTGTGAAAAATTGGTCATATTATGCAATTTCCGAATACATACGTAAGACACTTGTACCAAAGAGCTTCAGATAACACACTTAGTTGCTACTGTTGGACACTTAACATCAACGATCATGTCTGTGTACTCCTCTACGGAGCAAAGTGTGAGCTTAGAGAGGAGGTTCTAACCAGCGTACTGCACAGAGCTGGTTGTGGGCACTTACCACAGACTCCATGTCCTGCAAAGTGATGGGCTTCCGCAACATCATCCTGTAGAAAGGACGGATGAAGAATGCTGCAAAGAAAACACTTAGAGATGTCACTTTGATAAGGCTTGCATTACTGACAATAAGTACATGATGCAGCTTCTCACTGAAAAAAACAGCCATCTTCATGATCATGGACACAACAGTTGCACACATGCAATATTGTTAAGACCATGTCAAATTTATCAATCAATGTTAATCAAAGTACCCAGCATCAAGCAGTTTCCCATAATCTACCTGCCATCAAGCAGTTTCCCATAATTTACCTGCCATCAAGCAGTTTCCCATAATCTACCTGCCATCAAGCAGTTTCCCATAATCTACCTACCATCTAGCAGTTTCCACCACATAATTTACCTGCCATCAAGCAGTTTCCCATAATCTACCTACCATCAGCAGTTTCCCATAATCTACCTACATCAGGTAGTTTCCCATAATTTACCTACAAGGAGTGACTATTGAAGGGGAAACAACTATTGCGATAGTGACAGTCTATTGCAACATACTATTGCGATAGCGACAGTCTATTGCAACATACTATTCCGATAGCGACTGTCTAGTGCAACATACTTTTGCGATAGCTAGTCTATTGCAACATACTATTGCAAAGCGATAGTGTATTGCAACATACTATTGCGATAGCGATAGTCTATTGCGACCAACTATTCCAATACTACTGCACTAATTATTTTTCTCCTTGAATTGTCTCATTTGAAGTCAATTCCCAAATGAATGTATAGTTTATATGAAATAAAAACAAGTTGAAGTAGTTTTAGTCTCTTTTAATAACTGTGACAAGAAACTTGAAACCCAGATCAAGTTATCAGTTAAAACATAAACTTATTGTTATTCACAATTTCAAAATAGCATGCCCTGTTTGCCATCATGTTTGTTTAAGAGGTAACAGGGGCGGATAACTCTAAATCAAAGTGAACAAATCTGGTACTTCCTGTATTTTGCTCTGCGCATTTATCAACGAAAGTCAATTACTAAACTGTCGATAGTCACACATACCATTGATGCATTGATAGTTTTTCGTTTCTACCATCCATTAATTGCTATCGGAGATTCAACAACTGCAATCCATCAATAGTTCGATGCATTGTTACAGCACTAGTACCTACCATCAAGCAGTTTCCCATGGAATACTGCCATCCCAGCGACACGACCAATGAACTCAAAATATGATAGATGATCATCGTTTGCCATTCCAGAAAGAGGGTTGATCTGGAGCGTGTAGTTGTCCCTGAAATATAGAGTTCCAGAGTCAGATATACTCTCACAGACAGGTGTACCCTCAGTCAGGTGTACCCTCACAGACAGGTGTACTCTCACAGTCAGGTGTACTCTCACAGTCAGGTGTACTCTCACAGTCAGGTGTACTCCCTCAGTCAGGTGTACTCTCACAGTCAGGTGTACCCTCAGACAGTGTGTACCCTCACAGTCAGGTGTACTCTCACAGTCAGGTGTACTCTCACAGTCAGGTGTACTCTCACAGTCAGGTGTACTCTCAGTCAGGTGTACCCTCAGTCAGGTGTACTCTCACAATCAGGTGTACTCTCACAGTTAGGTGTACCCTCAGTCAGGTGTACTCTCACAGTTAGGTGTACCCTCAGTCAGGTGTACTCTCACAATCAGGTGTTCCCTCACAATCAGGTGTACCCTAAGTCAGGTGTACCCTCACAGATGTACCCTCAGTCAGGTGTACTCTAACAGTCAGGTGTACTCTAACAGTCAGGTGTACCCTCACTGTCAGGTGTACCCTCACAGTCTTTAGTACTCTCAGTCAGGTGTACTCTCACAGTCAGGTGTACTCTCACAGTCAGGTGTACTCTCACAGACAGATATACCCTTACAGTCAGGTGTACTCTCACAATCAGGTGTACCCTCACAATCAGGTGTACCCTCAGTCAGGTGTACTCTCACAGACAGATACACATGCTCAGCCATCACAGGCTATAGACCACAAATATAATTTTGTATATAACAGCAGAAAAATAGACAGAGAGACATGACTGGGAGAAGTTCAGCACTATGTGTGAGGAATAGATTTCCATAAACAAGCATAAAACGAACTGACAGAAAGGACACTCAAATTCTGTATGAGAGGCAATATAAAAGTGACATCAATCTGATCTGAGGATATTGTACATTTTTCCTACTTTCATCAGTCAATTATGACTTGAACAACAAAATCTAATAAAACTATTTATCAGTGGAAGAAAAAGCAGCATTGCGTAGAGGTATTACAACACAAACATCTCATTGCTGACGATATTCTCGATTGATAAGCAGTAGTGGAAAGGGTGATGTATTACAACACAAACATCTTATTGCTGACGATATTCTCGTTTGATAAGCAGTAGTGGAAAGGGTGATGTATTACAACACAAACATCTTATTGCTGACGATATTCTCGATTGATAAGCAGTAGTGGAAAGGGTGATGTATTACAACACAAACATCTTATTGCTGACGATATTCTCAATTGATAAGCAGTAGTGGAAAGGGTGATGTATTACAACACAAACATCTTATTGCTGACAATATTCTCGTTTGATAAGCAGTAGTGGAAAGGGTGATGTATTACAACACAAACATTTTATTGCTGACGATATTCTCGTTTGATAAGCAGTAGTGGAAAGGGTGATGTATTACAACACAAACATCTTATTGCTGACGATATTCTCGTTTGATAAGCAGTAGTGGAAAGGGTGAATGGAACCTATACATACGTGGCTGAGTACTCGAAGAGCCCATAGTAGGGGTTGAACATTTCCTTGGAGAGCAGATAGAACCATTCCCTGGCCACACCACCGTAATCCAGACCAGTCTCTCCATCAAACTCAATCCATAACCTTGTTTTCAGATTGTCTGTGTTCTTCACACTCATGATTATTCTATAGGAATCTTCAAACACATTTCTCCTCCCTACTTTTATGTCGATCTTATTTGGTACATTATTCTGAAAAAGTAAATGCACAAAAATTGTTTAAATAAAGCAAGTGTTTGTTAATACTTAAACATAAAAGATCATCCAGCAAACATCTATCAATTATGCATGCATACATTATTGAAGAAGATTTTAATCAAGACTTGCATTTTGGTTATGGCTGAAAGAAACCTGGCTCATAACAATAAAATTCTACCCCAAAGACCTATGGCAACCATCTTCATTTTCTTTCTTATGTAACACTGCATTCAGCAGTATTACATCTTTGCAACAGCAGTCTGTAAATAATCAACTTTGGACCTGACAATCCAGTGATTGACATAAAGATTTATGCAATGAGTGAGTGAATTTAGTTTACGACGCACTCAGCAATATTTCAGCTATATGGCGGCGGTCTGTAAATAATAGAGTCTGGACCAGACAATCTAGTGATTGACATCAAGAGCATTGATTTATGCAATGGGATACCATGACACACTTTAACCAAGACAGCAAGTCCGACCACCTGATCCTGTAAGTTGCCTGCTACAACAAATACTGTTTGCTGAAGACCGTTTGCAACCTGGATCTTCATGAGTCAAGATAATCAAGGTCGAATGTATAAAATCTTGATGTTTTGAAATCTTGATGTTTTTGGAAAATAATGTTCCACAAAAAAAGTATTCTTACTGGCTTTCTTAACTTGGACCTGAAGTAGTCATACTTCCTCTTATAGTCTCTGGAATAGGGTACAGCCTGAAAACAGCAATTCATAAGTCATTGTAATGGTATCAGTTCCAACAAATTCTAATGTAAGGGTGATAACTTTTGTAGTGTAACCTTGAATTCTCTCCCCTTTGACCATTTCAGACCTCATCAAATATTCAAGCATCACTTACAGCTAACTTATCCACAAAGAATGCAGTATCTATTTAGCAACAAACTTTTATCATTGGTAAACCTGTAAAAAGACTATTTAGGCAGGCATTTTGAAAAGGTAATGTAGAGTGCAAGCATGTTATATTTAACTGTAATAACAGTACTTACAGGACCACCAAGCTTCTGTAACCTAGGATCCTCCCACTGTGTTCCTCTGGTATCTGAAGACAAGCAATCAGGGTTACAGGCACTGGGTATATGGGCCAAGGATTTTTGCTTAAGTTTACAATAACTACTCACATATTGTATTACAAAACATTAAGTAAAACTGTCACATCTTGACCTCTAAGCTCACATCAGGTCTCAGAGTGAGTGAGTGAGTTTAGTTTTACGCCGCTTTTAGCAATATTCCAGCAATATCACGGTGGGGGACACCAGAAATGGGCTTCACACATTGTACCCATGTGGGGAATCGAACCCGGATCCTCGGCGTGATGAGCCAACGCTTTAACCACTAGGCTACCCCACCACCCCCTCAAGTTTCAGAACAGGCACCAGACACACCACTGTGGTCCAAGACTGACTGACTGACTGAGTTTAGTTTTACGCCGCTTTGAGCAATATTCCAGCAATATCACGGCGGGGGACACCAGAAATGGGCTTAACACATTGTGCCCATGTGGGGAATCGAACCCGGATCCTCGGCGTGACGAGCCAACGCTTTAACCACTAGGCTACCCCACCGCCCCTGTGGTCCAAGAACAAAACACATCTGAACCATCCATACACAGGTGTGACCTTCCCTTGATGTTAAACAATGAAGTAATGTTTTTAACTTGAAACACAGACATCTTTCAAAATTATTTTCACAAGGATCAAGTCAAACCATCTCCTATGTATATTATGTATACATTTATTCATCTATTGATGCCAGACTTATGGGGCCTGGAAAAGGTGCAGACTACTATGTGACATGGTTCACAGCCACAGTGGACCCCTCAGACTTACTGTGGTCAATGTAGAACACTCTCCCGTCTGTGTGTGTTCTCTCCTCCCAGCCAGCCTGAAACAAACAAGTGCAACCCTTCAGGTATGCCTAACAATGAACAGAAAATACCATACACCACATATATGTACAACTTAAAACACAGCTATATACGTTCAGGAGTATTGTCTGATATAAATGACCATATACACGTTGAAACATCCATTTCAGGTAAGCCTTACTATGGTCAGAAAAAGACCATATACACATTGAAACATCCATTTTGGGTAAGCCTTACTATGGTCAGAAAACGACCATATACACGTTGAAACATCCATTTCAGGTAAGCCTCAAGGTGGACATTAAACAATGTTTCATCACCAGACACCAGTGTCACACTACTACATACATTAGTTGCTTTGGCATAACAAGCAAAAAAGATACTTATATGGAGCACTGTGTCCCTCAAAATCTATGGCAGATATCTCATGAAAACAGGTATGGTAGCTCAAATTTACAAGACAGACAGTGTCAAGAACTTAGACAATGTACTTACCGGCAAAGGCCCAAGATTTCTTAGCAGGTCTTCATTGGAGGACGGCCTCCATATGCCACTGGGTGTGTCCAGGTTTGGCATAGAGCTTGGTCTTGAGCGGCAGGGATCATCCTGGAGGGAATGATAACATTACTAAGGCAGCAGTTCAGCCGCAAGGGAATAATAAAGTTACTAACACACAGATATAATTGTGTTGTTCATATGAACATGTTTCACCATCATTCTAGTCATTTGTCCAGAAGAAAAGGACCTTGAGTACCACCACTCAGTGCATGTACACAGCACAAACTGAGATTACAGAAAGTTTCTGAGAGCATACCCATGTTGTTATTTGTGTGTTGTGATCAATGAAGAACTTGCGGCCATTGGGTGCCATGCCCATCGCCCATCCAGCAGGAAGTGGCTCCTCATCCCCATCAAGTGGCCTGTGCACCATCGCCCGATGCTGACTCTGTCAATGGAACAGCGGAGTCAGGGAGATAAATGCATTATCTTAACTGCCATTTTCAGGAATAATTGTTTTTGTGCAAACTTCAAACAAATCATTTCTGTTCTCAACAGATGTCATAACATTAATCAGAATTTGCACCTTAATCGGTCTGTTGCAGCAAAACAAATCCACAGTATTGACAAGTTGAGATAATGTGACCTACCACTCACTGCAATCACATACTCAGAATTAACTAAGTGGTTTCCTTCTTACAACAAATATTCACCACCACAAACAATTCCCTAAATCCCTGCATATCGGCACCACGTGACATAACATTACAACTTCACATAACTTCAACATCCCTGATATCAAACTATACTTACTGATGAAGGAGAGAATGGTGGAGTCTGAAACAGAAAGAAATGATACATTTACAACAGCAATCAGCATGAGTGAGATTTAAAAGACAACATCCACTTATCTACCTGTCATGCAGATCCACCTGTCACTTTCTCCTCATTCTCCTCAGTATCCCATCTTCGTCAGTCCCTCCCCAATACACACCTGACAACCAGCATTCACCTTAAGGGCTCTAACATCCATACATGTACATGTTCACCTGCATCCTCAGTATCCCATCTTCGTCAGTCCCTCCCCAATACACACCTGACAACCAGCATTCACCTTAAGGGCTCTAACATCCATACATGTACATGTTCACCTGCATCCTCAGTATCCCATCTTCGTCAGTCCCTCCCCAATACACACCTGACAACCAGCATTCACCTTAAGGGCTCTAACATCCATACATGTACATGTTCACCTGCATCCTCAGTATCCCATCTTCAGATCCAGTCCCTCCCCAATACACACCTGACAACCAGCATTCACCTTAAGGACTCTAACATCCATACATGTACATGTTCACCTGCATCCTCAGTATCCCATCTTTCGCCAGTCCCTCCCCAATACACACCTGACAACCAGCATTCACCTTAAGGGCTCTAACATCCATACATGTACATGTTCACCTGCATCCTCAGTATCCCATCTTCGCCAGTCCCTCCCCTCAATACACACCTGACAACCAGTATTCACCTTAAGGGCTCTCTAACATCCATACATGTACATGTTCACCTGCATCCTCAGTATCCCATCTTCGTCAGTCCCTCCCCAATACACACCTGACAACCAGCATTCACCTTAAGGGCTCTAACATCCATACATGTACATGTTCACCTGCATCCTCAGTATCCCATCTTAGGTCAGTCCCTCCCCAATACACACCTGACAACCAGCATTCACCTTAAGGGCTCTAACATCCATACATGTACATGTTCACCTGCATCCTCAGTATCCCATCTTCGTCAGTCCCTCCCCAATACACACCTGACAACCAGCATTCACCTTAAGGGCTCTAACATCCATACATGTACATGTTCACCTGCATCCTCAGTATCCCATCTTCGTCAGTCCCTCCCCAATACACACCTGACAACCAGCATTCACCTTAAGGGCTCTAACATCCATACATGTACATGTTCACCTGCATCCTCAGTATCCCATCTTTTGCCAGTCCCTCCCCAATACACACCTGACAACCAGCATTCACCTTAAGGGCTCTAACATCCATACATGTACATGTTCACCTGCATCCTCAGTATCCCATCTTAATCAGTCCCTCCCCAATACACACCTGACTGACACCAGCATTCACCTTAAGGGCTCTAACATCCATACATGTACATGTTCACCTGCATCCTCAGTATCCCATCTTCATCAGTCCCTCCCCAATACACACCTGACAACCAGCATTCACCTTAAGGGCTCTAACATCCATACATGTACATGTTCACCTGCATCCTCAGTATCCCATCTTCATCAGTCCCTCCCCAATACACACCTGACAACCAGCATTCACCTTAAGGGCTCTAACATCCATACATGTACATGTTCACCTGCATCCTCAGTATCCCATCTTCCATACATGTACAGTCCCTGCATCCCAATACACACCTGACACACACCAGCATTCACCTTAAGGGCTCTAACATCCATACATGTACATGTTCACCTGCATCCTCAGTATCCCATCTTAGGTCAGTCCCTCCCCAATACACACACCTGACAACCAGCATTCACCTTAAGGGCTCTAACATCCATACATGTACATGTTCACCTGCATCCTCAGTATCCCATCTTAAGTCAGTCCCTCCCCAATACACACCTGACAACCAGCATTCACCTTAAGGGCTCTAACATCCATACATGTACATGTTCACCTGCATCCTCAGTATCCCATCTTGGCCAGTCCCTCCCCAATACACACCTGACAACCAGCATTCACCTTAAGGGCTCTAACATCCATACATGTACATGTTCACCTGCATCCTCAGTATCCCATCTTAGATCAGTCCCTCCCCAATACACACCTGACAACCAGCATTCACCTTAATGGGGCTCTAACATCCATACATGTACATGTTCACCTGCATCCTCAGTATCCCATCTTAGATCAGTCCCTCCCCAATACACACACCTGACAACCAGCATTCACCTTAAGGGCTCTAACATCCATACATGTACATGTTCACCTGCATCCTCAGTATCCCATCTTGTCAGTCCTCCTCAATACACACCTGACAACCAGCATTCACCTTAAGGGCTCTAACATCCATACATGTACATGTTCACCTGCATCCTCAGTATCCCATCTTCATCAGTCCCTCCCCAACACACACCTGACAGCCAGCATTCACCTTAAGGGCTCTAACATCCATACATGTACATGTTCACCTGCATCCTCAGTATCCCATCTTCGGTCAGTCCCTCCCCAATACACACCTGACAACCAGCATTCACCTTAAGGGCTCTAACATCCATACATGTACATGTTCACCTGCATCCTCAGTATCCCATCTTCGTCAGTCCCTCCCCAATACACACCTGACAACCAGCATTCACCTTAAGGGCTCTAACATCCATACATGTACATGTTCACCTGCATCCTCAGTATCCCATCTTTGTCAGTCCCTCCCCAATACACACCTGACAACCAGCATTCACCTTAAGGGCTCTAACATCCATACATGTACATGTTCACCTGCATCCTCAGTATCCCATCTTCATCAGTCCCTCCCCCAATACACACCTGACAACCAGCATTCACCTTAAGGGCTCTAACATCCATACATGTACATGTTCACCTGCATCCTCAGTATCCCATCTTCATCAGTCCCTCCCCAATACACACCTGACAACCAGCATTCACCTTAAGGGCTCTAACATCCATACATGTACATGTTCACCTGCATCCTCAGTATCCCATCTTCATCAGTCCCTCCCCAATACACACCTGACAACCAGCATTCACCTTAAGGGCTCTAACATCCATACATGTACATGTTCACCTGCATCCTCAGTATCCCATCTTCATCAGTCCCTCCCCAATACACACCTGACAACCAGCATTCACCTTAAGGGCTCTAACATCCATACATGTACATGTTCACCTGCATCCTCAGTATCCCATCTTCATCAGTCCTCCCCCAATACACACCTGACAACCAGCATTCACCTTAAGGGCTCTAACATCCATACATGTACATGTTCACCTGCATCCTCAGTATCCCATCTTCATCAGTCCCTCCCCAATACACACCTGACAACCAGCATTCACCTTAAGGGCTCTAACATCCATACATGTACATGTTCACCTGCATCCTCAGTATCCCATCTTCGTCAGTCCCTCCCCAACACACACCTGACAACCAGCATTCACCTTAAGGGCTCTAACATCCATACATGTACATGTTCACCTGTATCCTCAGTATCCCATCTTCATCAGTCCCTCCCCAACACACACCTAATTCCAAGATTTGTCTGCAAGGGCTCTAACATCCCCTGATTGTAGTGTGTAACTTACCCTTTCTGTGCTTGTGCTTGTGGTTTCGGTCTCATCACTGTTGGAGTGGACACTGATGGTGTCGTCCTGACTGATGTGGCGTCGCTGCAGGTAGAGCTGAGCTGCCTCCATGCTTCGCTGACGATTCATCTCCTGTTCCGACACCTCGGTGATAGTGCTACGAAACAAGGCAGCAGCCATTACAACAGATGCCAGGTACATGCAATAAATTCATATGTTCCTATTCCCCATGGAACCTCTCAAGTACACAGCATGTTAGCTAGGCTCATCACATCCTCATATCTACATTCCATCAGGAGATATACTACAGATAACAAGAGGACAATATCCCCCACAAAGGTAAAATACTCTTCATGAATATGTCAACTAGGTATGACAATGACAAATGTTTTGGCTTGTATATAGTAATAGAAATAGAGAAATACTGTTGATTTATGTCATTAGGTTTGTAAATACCCACAAAGTGGAAGGAGTGTAGTGAATGGTTTTAAAGTTCTGCTCCAGAGAGGAGCACTACCACCAATTTCAGTCAAAGTAAAGCTTGTTGCCATGGAAATGCAAACAAATAATTTTATTTTAAATTATAATAGCATGGAACCAACATCTTCCAGAGTAATATGACACAGAAGGGGTTGTGAGAGAGAGTGGGGCTGGTCCTTACACACACTAGTTAGATCACTAGTTCAGATCAGTATTGCTAGTTGCTCATTGCTAGTTAATATCACGATTATTGCAAGTATTGTATTTCTAGTTGTATTGCTAGTTGCAAGTATTGCGATGATTCAAGTTGTATACAAGTATTGCTAGTTGTATGAGTAATGTAGTTTATGGTATTGCAAGGTGTATCTGACAGTATTGCTAGTTGTATCACAGTATTGCTAGTTGTATCGCAGTATTGTTAGTTGTATATCTGAGTATTGCTAGTTGTATATGAGTATTGCTAGTTGTATCACAGTATTGCGAGTTGTATATAAGTATTGCTAGTTGTATAGTATCACAGTATTGCTAGTTGTATACGAGTATCGCTAGTTGTATACGAGTATTGCTAGTTGTATAAAAGGAAGGAACGAAGTTAGTACTGCAGACCCTGTGACATATCTCAATCATGAAAATATGAGCAGCTTGTCGATTGGATGTTATATTTGGATGTTGATTGTTGATTGGATGTTATACTGTGTACTGTTGGGAATTGGTTGATATCTCACAATTGATGATTGGTTTATTACCAATGAGCAATCATCTAAAAAAAATTGGTTAGCGACATTTTTTCAGATTTTCCAATTCAGGTTGTTATTACAGATAAGTATAACATGATGCAACTTGCTACTTTAAAGTGATGACGAAATTTCCTGTACATAAACTTCCTGGAGTCTTCAAGAAATATTCAGTCATGACTTTTCTGTAAGTGGAGTTAGTTTTCTGAGAATTAAACACGTTTTCTGGCCCTGACAACTTCTAAGATATGTTCCATCGTCAAGTGTTTCAAACACTAAAACAGTAGTTCCAAAATCATTTGTGTTCGATTATGAGAAAATGTGATCGATTGCTTGGTCGTTTATTCACTCCGACCGATCTTCGATTGTTTCAATTAATCGGAACACCACTAATACTGTGTCTCTAACCCGGCTCATAACAAAAAGGGTAAACTAATCCTGGGAAACTGGAACAGAGATGGATGCAAGGATAGGCTCAGTGCTACCTATTGATCCCCCTTGTCACCTCAGGATATCTCTTGTTCCAACTATAATTCTCTCCCCCTACTTGAAGACAAAACATTGCCATCATAAGCTCTATGTAGCATATGTATATCAATGAAATAACAGCTAATCCCAATTTGTAAGCATATATTCCAAGAATGTGTCCGTATAAATTTTATCCAAGTGTGTACGTAAATTGTATGTTGTAATCCTATGCCATGTCAACTGTCACCATCAACTGTCACTACTGGCACTCACTTATTTGGGCGCTGCCACTGTGAAGAGCGTGAGGTGTGATTCACGTAGTAGGTCCTGCCATTGGCATCCATCCTCTCGGCCCATCCTGTCGGCAGGCTTGAACTGCTGAAATTCCCATTATCAGAACTTTAGTAAAAATAATACATACAAACCTCTGCTGCTTACCATGACATTTACTGGAAGTATTGCAATATCAGCAGCTATGTGTGCTCGGACACAATGTGCACTTGTGTGACTGAGCGAGGTGGATTTAATGTCGCTTTGAATGGTGCAGCTCCCTGGACAAGCAGTGACACACCAATTGTTTTACCTTAGACCAACTGGTTACTCAATACTCCATTACTGGAACATGTGTATCACATTTATTGCATGCACGTTTATTCTGACTAAGGAAAATGTCTCCTGAACAACAAAAAGGACCATCACCTTCTACTTCCTCTTTCTTGGTTAAGTGTTCGTTTGTCACGCTACACACTCATGTTTAATATGTTTTGAAGCACATATTTGGTGTCCCACTGTATGCTTGAACAATGCTTATAATGTAATTAAATCCAACCCACCCACAAAAGGAGTCAACACAAACATACTACAGTGTCTGTATGCATATTGTTTTACCTTGGTGAGGGTCTTTCCCAGTGCGTGGTCCTGTCATTGTGATTGATGTAGTACTTCCTGCCCTGGGGGTCCCTCCTCTCCTCCCAGCCTGGGGGCAAGGGCTCCAGGTTCTCTCCATGGGCAGATGCTGTCGCACCCACGGTGGTGGGGCCCGATGCCCCTGCTTCATTGATGGCTGTCTCCATGTCCACCAGCTCCCAGCCAGGCTGTGCAAGAAATGCCATTCATATATTCAAGTACAAATCCAGCCATGTTTGTTTCTCCAAAAGTGTCTGGTAAAATGAATTCTTGTTTATTTAAGTACAAACATAGCTGAGGAAGTGTGGAGGAAGTGTGCAGGAACTTGCAAATACTCAGCATATAATTTAAAATGACACACGTGGATAACATAATGGTCAGATTTCAATCATAAAAGCCTAAACAAATAGTATTGAGATCTGTGAAAATCCCCATGAACAACTTTCTCTTCAAACATCAGACACTCAATAATACTTGAAAATACATTTGCTGACTGCTGTTATTGTTTTTATTAGTAGTGAAATATGCCGAAATGAAAGAACTTACACTAACCTCGTTGGTGGTTTGCCCTGACGCCTCGTCATCAGCATTGCTGTCACCTTCGGTGGCAACATACGCCAAGTACAACATCAGGTGCCCTCTCACCCGGGAGCGGATACTGCAAGCAGTAAAACTGGCTAGATCAAGGTTATATGTGATGCAACCTGACTCACCACTACTCTTTACTCAAGAAGTAATACACCTCATCTCCTCACTGTTATTTTCTCAAAACAAAATGGCGACTAGCCTGAATACTATTCACTATGTAATGCTACCAGTCTCACACATTTCTTTCACAGATGTAACACAATGTAACTAGTCCGACAACTGCTCTTTACTAAATTCACTTCAATTCAAATTAGGAAAAATGGTTGGATTCTTAATGCCTAAATAAACATGGTTTCCTCTCATCCAGCCTCCTGACCAATCTACTATCTAGATACTGCAAGTATCATAAAATCGATATCACCATTAACTTCCACAGTGTGACAATGCGTGGCTTACCTTCTTGGTCTGAGCATGAAGCTCTTGACGCCAATATCACGTCCTGCCCTTTCTGTGGCCACACCCGTGTGACTGAGTGGGATCTCCACAAGACCAAGGAAGTCATCCCTCGTCTGGAACATCACAGCTTAAATCTGCACTGAACTTCCCAGGGAAATGCAGGTTACATAATAAAGGATCTCTTTCTTAGTAATTTTTATGTCCACATTATAAAACTAAGCACCTCATACTAATAGAAGTTTTGTTTAAAAGACACTTTGAACAACAGTCAGGACAATGTGATGCAGGTCTTTGACAAAAACAGGAATCCCAGACATGCGAGTAATGAAAGCCCTCTGTGTTTTGGATGCAATACTGAGATATCCTACAACAGCTGTGGCAATGTAACCCAGTGAGTTGCTGGTTTCCCTACTACAGCTGTGGCTGGTTTCTCTACTACAGATGTGTCAATGTAACCCAGTGAGTTGCTGGTTTACCTACTACAGCTGTGGCAATGTAACCCAGTGAGTTGTTGGTTTCCCTACTACAGCTGTGGCAATGTAACCCAGTGAGTTGTTGGTTTCCCTACTACAGCTGTGGCAATGTAACCCAGTGAGTTGTTGGTTTCCCTACTACAGCTGTGGCAATGTAACCCAGTGAGTTGCTGGTTTCCCTACTACAGCTGTGGCAATGTAACCCAGTGAGTTGCTGGTTTCCCTACTACAGCTGTGGCAATGTAACCCAGTGAGTTGTTGGTTTCCCTACTACAGCTGTGGCAATGTAACCCAGTGAGTTGTTGGTTTCCCCTACTACAGCTGTGGCAATGTAACCCAGTGAGTTGTTGGTTTCCCTACTACAGCTGTGGCAATGTAACCCAGTGAGTTGTTGGTTTCCCTACTACAGCTGTGGCAATGTAACCCAGTGAGTTGTTGGTTTCCCTACTACAGCTGTGGCAATGTAACCCAGTGAGTTGCTGGTTTCCCTACTACAGCTGTGGCAATGTAACCCAGTGAGTTGTTGGTTTCCCTACTACAGCTGTGGCAATGTAACCCAGTGAGTTGCCAGTTTCCCTACTACAGCTGTGGCAATGTAACCCAGTGAGTTGTTGGTTTCCCTACTACAGCTGTGGCAATGTAACCCAGTGAGTTGCCAGTTTCCCTACTACAGCTGTGGCAATGTAACTCAGTTAGTTGTTGGTTTCCCTGGCTACTTACCACTCGGTTGGAATCAAACACCTCCAGCAGGACCACATTGTCTCGAGGGTTAACCTGAAGTAGTAGACAAGCAAATATTCAACACAGGAAGGACAAAAGATCACATTTTGAAGACTGAGACTGAATTGGGTTCAAAACCAGTTTGAACTCATGAAAATGACACGTATCGTAGCCATTTACACGTACAAGCGGTTGAGTGTGACAGACAAAGAATCATAATGAGGGAATCTAGGATTCAAACCTCTCAACAGATCTTTCCACAGCAACAATCCTTCGAACAACAATGAAATGCAGAATCTACTCGGCCATCCACTATTGATACGATACATCTATATTAAAATTTTATGTTTGTGTAAGTCCTCTATTTGACTGCATTTTAACAGACTGAGAAATTACTTTCTTACACCAATGAGGTAAAATCCTTCATTCTTGTCTTAAAAGTCAAAGAACATTAACATGAGCCAATAATGAGACAGGTTGGATGGGTCTGGTGTTTTAACATGCAAATGGTTGCATTTACAAGCAGAGTTTTGAGGCTTTGCTAAAAAATGAGACCAAATTCAAAGTGTGAGACAAAATAAGTAAAAGTTTCATTTGTCCAAACATCTTTAGGTAAGTGAAAATTAAATGAGATGGGATATACAGCAGACTTACCCGGAACACAAATTCCTCTTGCCATTTTGGATTCAGTGTCTGCAAATAAAAACAACATATTACTTGACTGGACCATATACTCCTTGTTCTGTGAGGCAGCTAGTAAGTATTACTTGCCCTGGGACTTAAGCTTTCTTGTAACTGATGAGCAACAACATGACAATTCTTCCACAGAGAGGTGTGGAATTCTGTAATATGTCACAATTAAAATTCATTTCACTGTTCTCACATCAATATGGTTCCATGATACTGTATTAAGTGTAAAACCTTAAAATAAAATAAAAAATCACAACAAAATTCATGAGACTTAAAGATCACATATACTCTAAGGGGGTACAAATACATAAATCACTAATTGGCATTTTTATAAATGAAACCCTGTCATTAAAACTACTCATTTCGATCACGGTTACGGTTAATTTCTTCAACCTAAACAGTGCGACATTAAGAAGGGTGGATGCCCATCAGAAGCAGTTATTTGAAAATATCCCCGGTAGTTCTTGTCTGATTGTAATAAAGTATCAAAGCAGTGTGGGCTTTTTCAAGTTTTCTTATGCCTGGATGGTATAATGACTGATCCAAATTGATCCCATTTCTGTGATTTTTTTACCTCGATATGTAATCATGTCATGTAAAAATATGACGTCTATTACGTATGATATTAAAAATTGACATTTGATTTATTTGAATCCGTAAACTAAACAACCCTACTTTGCCATTGCTAGAAGAATCTGAAAATTTACTTTGGTAAATAGGTACATACAGTTTTAGCACACAGAAAATGCTTATATGTATTACTTATGCAACAATGAAGTTCTGTTTGTATTCTCAAAACAGTGTCGGCCAATAAGTTTTAACATGCAATTACAATTGCATGCAATACAGCATTTAATACTCCCTTGTAACCCGTGTTAGGTGGTATAAACCTACACATGTTATTTGTCATCATTCCCTTGATGGTCAGTTAATGAAATTATAACAGGTATAATTAGTGGTAACACCACTTAGATGACCAATGAGACTTGGGTGACCAATGAGACTATACACCAATGTGAAATACCTGAAACGATACGTCACCTTTTCGTATATTAGACTGTTAAAAGACACATCACTTCGAACAGCTGCAGATGAAAGGCATATCACTTGTTTTTGTGGATATTGATGGATACATTCCTCGAACAAGGTAATAGCCTGACATTGTTCCTATAACTTTAATGTGTTTTAATTTTAATACTTGCATTTTGTTTTTATTCATTTGTCGTAGCATTCAACAGAATCATTGTTTTTGCCGTGAAGTGTAATGAGACAGACAACATACACTAGGGCGTGTGTGTGCGAATTATGATTCACATTGGCAAACTATAAAATGTCTCGATATTACAGTCCTCTTATAAATTCACTATAAGTATCAGCAGATCATCTGCTTTTTATTTAGTTTAAAAATTCATACAAGTATGATAATAAACTAATTAGGATTATAAGACCAAATATAAAGACGTACATTGACTAGTATCTACATTACATACTGGTGAGTGGTCGTTAACCATGTGCATGTAGCAAGAATTTATCGCGCAGTATTGTGACTTCGACCCCCACCTCGCTTCCATGGAAGGAATCGGTATGTTATAAGTTGTGTCATGCAAAATCCTTTTGGTAATGATTCAAATACATATTTAACTATGAGTAGAAAGTAGTGATAAATGCTATTTAGGTTTGTTTTCACTGAGTTACGAAATCAAAACTCTTTCTACTGGTAGTAAAATATGTATTTGATTGATGGCCAATAGGATTTTGCATGAAATAGCTTATAACATAACAATTTCTCTCGTGGGAAGCGAGGTGGGTGTCAATATAATACTACTTAGGTAAACAGTATTATTGTCACTTCGACCACAACCTCGCTTCCGAGGAAGAAATCGTTATGTTAAAAGCTGTGTCATGGAAAATCTTTATGGCCATCAATCATATACATATTTTACAACTAGTAAGTAGTTTTGATTCTTTAACTTCCGTGAAGCGATCTGAACACAAGTAAGATATCGTTTCAGGCTTCCACAACGCTCGCTCCGCACTCACAAACATAACCCATTTAGCACGAACTGCGGGGTCCGGTGGAAATCTGTGCATAGCGACACCATCGCCCGACCCCTAGGAGCAATTGACGACAATGCAATGATTCGGCATGTCTTCGTTGATGTCGAGAAATCATAAAAATGACGAGCTTGCTACACACTTTCTATACAACTAACCGAAAATCCTTCCTCATATGATGTCACTGTAGTGCTCTGGCGACAGAGTTACGTATCCTGCCTGTGGTTTCGTTGGCGGGCGAGAGTGAAGCAGGCGACTTTTTGGCAACTTCTAATCGCTCGGTATTAATTAACCACAAGTGTTTTAAGAATGAATTTGGTGTTCCGCATAAGACTAACCACAAATCTTTCATATGTAATAGTTAAAAGAGTACAAAAAACAAAGTTTATTTATTCTTTAATATAAAGTAATCCACTCATTTACTAACCTGAGTCAACAACTGTTTTACAGATTCCTTATGACATAACTAGTGCTAAAGATAACATCAGGCCATTGACAACAGCTTGATCTTTGAACACTAAAACACTTGAGTTATGGATGATTGACAACGAAGATGACTGACGACACAGATTACCTCTCCAGCTAAAGTATTTCCCCTCCATCAGTTCTACAGTAACAGCCTGACCCATATACACATGGCTTATGTAACTTTCCCCTCTAACACCTCTCACAGTACTCAGTTTATTTAGTAAACTGGGTCACACTGTTGTACGTAGGTCACAGTGATAATGCAGACAAGGTGTATGAGAGACCCGAGAGCTGCCTGCCTGACACTTATACGACAGTTTCATGTAGCAAACACCTATGTGAACTCATTGAATAGATACATGTAGTTTTGAGAGACAAGCCACACCCTCTCACTTGCACAATACGACTGACTGTGAAAGCAGGAGTGTAACGTCTGTTGTAACATATGTGATACTATATGGATCAATATCTCTCGAAATAAGTACTGTTTCACTCATTACTTTTGAAGATTGAGCAAGCTTAGTTTGATGTAGCTCTGAACAGTATTTCATTACATATGACATATCTCTACACACCACGGGTTCCCCGACCCCAAGGGTACAACTCTGCACAGCAAATTGACACTGTAGGCAATGGTGACAACAGTCCATTTGGGTTCAAATGAGAACGATGAATGATTAAGTAACTTGAAAAAGTGATAAGTGCACAACACATAAATAAGATACATGGTCCTGAAGCTTCTGTACCCAACAGTATCTGAAATTTGACATTTTATGAAAAAGCTGTTTAAGAAACTATCATGTATTATTGTTCTATTTTCACACATCACACCGAGGGGTGACAAACGGCTGATGGAACAGCACCAGCACACACTTCAGGTGTAACTCAGCACAGCCAGGTTTGTTCCACCGGCCGTTTGTCACCCCTCAGTTACATCAGGTAATTCTGATTCAGTTTTCAATACAAAGTGTAAACAGTAAAACACTGTTTGTATGAAAAGGAACTCCTTGTTTACAATGTATCACATTGGCAACTTGATATTGTTGACAAAGTAGGTTTTCAGGCCCAGCAGGTATTCAGGGTCAAAACATGCCCTAGCCGAACCGACAGTCTAAGGTGTATGAAGCGACTAAGGTGGTCAGGTTCAGGGTCCAGGCTAGTGTTGGGAATTGGTTTAAATCTCATAATTAATGATTGGTTCATCACAACCAATCAATCATCGAAAATAATTGGTTAGCATCATTTATCAAATCTTCATGACTGTGTTTGTTTATGCACAAAAAAATCTAGAACAAGCATTGTCACTAAGGTGACATAATCCCCACCACAAATGATCAAATCAAACTTATAAAGTAATGAAAGCTTAAGATGAAGTTAAATGTCAACAAAAACATGACTAATCAACCTCTCTTGATATCTTGCTCTTTAGTTGTTCAAACACACACATATTTTCAAGACTGAATTTGACCTTGACATAAATGTCATAGTGTATGAAATATGCAAAACAAGTACTAAAGAAATTGCTTATTGAAAAACATTCAAGAGAAGTCTTAAAAGTCTATGAAGAAAATCCAGTGAACTGTTCTTAAAATATCTTGCTGACAATTCAGGTTAACATGCTGAATCCTTCAAAGTGTCGTCGTGACCCTAAAAATTATGTGAAGGTCACCAAAATTGACTGGGCCCTGGGCCTTTCCTAGATAAAGCTTGGTGTCAAATACGAGGAAATTCCAGAGAATATGTTTTGCGATATCTTGCTGACTATCTTAACATGCAATTTAACATGCTGAAATCTTCAAAGTGTCTCTGTGACCTTGAAAATTAAGTGAAGGTCACCAAAATCGACTGGGCCCTGCGCCTTCCCTAGATAAAGCTTGGTATTGAATATGAAGAAAATCCAGAGAACGGTTCTTGATATAGCTTAACATGCAGGTAAAATGTTAAAGTCCCCTTGTGACCTTGAAATGAAGATCAAGGTCACCAAACCTGAGTTGGACCTTTCTTATACTGTGATGAAACTAGGTACCAAATATGAAAATAATCTAGAGAACGCTTCTTAAGATATTCCAATTCGTACGAACGGACGGACGGAGCCCAATACTATATCCCCCGCTTCGCGCTAAACGCGTGGCGGGGGATAAACAAACATGTAGTTCTTTGGGGTTGTTTTTGCAAATTGTACAAATGCATTTGCAAATTACACATCTTTACAGGATGACTAGTATGTTAGGAACATAAATTTCCAGGAATCTTTAAGATAAATTCAATCAGAACTTAGAACGAGCTTGCAGCGCTTATGAAATGTTACATACAAAACCAAACCCTGTGAAAAAATATTGTTAATGCAAACAAGTGTTCCAGAATTGTTTGGGTTTGATTATGAGAAAACATGATCGATTGCTTGGTCGTTGAGTCATTGCGACCAATCATTGATTATTTCAATTAATCGGACCACCACAAGTCCGGGTTGATTGTTTATT